CCGTGCCAAACTGCATATTGTTATTCATTGCTTACTAGGAAACTTCACTGAAGAAATGGATATGCTTCTGTCAACCATTCCTGGTGATGGTTTGCCACTTGTCTTCCTCGGGGCCTTGATAGACCACAAGCTACTGCCTTCCTCACCCTCCTGACCTCATTTGGCCTGATCTGCTTCTGCAATCCTGGACACAAACTGGACCTCATTCTGACCCAGAAGTGTATCCCTGACGACTTGCTTGTCACCCCTTTACACATTTCTGACCACTTTGTTCAGTTCACTTTGTCCCTACCCTGCTTTCAGTTTTCCAGGAAGGTTTCCCTAGGAGTAACGATACATAACCAGTTGTTCTTTGCTGAGCACATAACACTGCTTTCTCAGTCATGCAGGTTTACCTTGCATAACACCAGGAAGATCAGGGATTTTCTGTCTGATTATGCAGCTCAGCTTCTAGTCCAGCATTTATCTCACGACTAGACTAAACTGCAGCTCTCTACTAGCAGGTCTGCCAGCTTGTGCTGTCAGACCACTGCAGATGATGAAAAATGTGGCAGCACATCTGATATTCAGTCAGCCCAAGCATTCTCATGTCACAGCCCTCCTTGTCTCTACACCATCTCCCCATTTACACAAGTTCAAGTCATTGGTGTTGGCTTACAGGTCTCACAATGAACAGGTACCCCACCCCATGCTCCTCATGACCTATGTCCCATCTAATCCGCCTTCAGTCAGCAAGCCAATGCTGGAAGGTGAGTTCCTTCCACCACACAAGAAGGGTCACTCCAGACTGTTATCATGGTGGGGCATGATGGCGGAAGGACGATCCATGTAGAAACTCCAATAAATCAGGGTTTATTTAACAAAAACAAATAGTGAATCAGAAAGTAAAGCAATCATGATACTAAAGGCAGGGAGAAACACAGGAAGACTTCAATAACTTAACAGGGAATAACTATCAGGAAGACAACCAATCAGAAATGGCACGGGACAACAAAAAACGGTACAATGAATTACAAATAACAAGCAGCGATGACTAGGGAATAGTAACAACACAGGGGGCTAACAACACTAGGAGGAATCAAGGGGCCAGTAAAACAGAACATACTAACCAAGGCACGGGCCGAATAACCATTAACAACACAACAAAACAAAACCGTACAGACACCAAAGGATAAAATAAAACCAATAATTTAAGATGAGAGAAGCAGCCCCAAACTCATAACCAGATGACCATAAGCCTCTGAACCACACACTAAACCCATGGAGCTATGCATTGGCCCAGGAAAGAGTTAAAGACTAGGGGAACACCAAACTGGAACAGCTGGCCAAACGAAAATAAGACACACGAGACAGGGCCAGACCGGCACCGACCCTCACAATGGTTCTCTTTTGTGGTTCCCAGGTAGAATGGGCTGTTGAAGCATAACGGGGCATCAGACTCCCAATCTGCCTTCAAGAAATGTCTCAAGATCCATCTCTTCCATGAATTCCTCTACTAGCCTGATGCTTCTTTATGTTCTGTGAATGTGCACATATGGTCACTGAATAGTCTTATTAGGTTCTTGCCTTGATAGAAGTTGTTGTGTAGCTCCTGTCCCAATACTGCTTACACTTGTACCTCTGCATTCATTGGAAGCTCATCATAGCTGCACTAATATCCTATTAACTCCTTGACATCCTGTGTGTTTGCAATGGGGTATTTGCCACACTTGTATGTTGATCTGGACAAAAGAATCTGTGCAAATGTGTAAATTTAAGATCTGCCTTTGTGTGAGTGTTACTTGAAAAAGGAAAAAAACCTCTTGTACTTGCTTTCTTTTAAGAAGTTATATTTATAAACAAAAGTGTTATTTACAGAGGACCACAAATCAGTAGGGCAGGTTTTACCACAAATCCTAGTACAAACAGATGATGTTACCTTTTTTGGATTGATCCTCCTGGTGGTTTTCAGGAGTCTTAGGTCTGACTGTAGAGAAAGGTAAATATCAAGACCCAGATAGACTGAACTTTTTTGTCTCCTGGCCTTCAACTTTGCTGTCTAATATTGTGTAAAGACTCTTCTTGTGTACAGACCAGCAAGTCTACCTGCACAAGTCCAAATTTATTCTCTTGCACTTTTAATGGACCAAAATTTTGGAGCTCAGGTGTCAGGCCTATCAAGTCGAATTTTGGTGCAATTTGTCTCAAAATTTGACCACGTCCTGATCTTCATCCTTACAGTGTGTCTGCACTGGTTGAGAAAGATGTGTCAAATACTTTTTGAGTTATTCAGTGTCTGAAATTGCCCCATTTTTCCAATTACTATTCGGCCCCACATCAATATTTGGACATTCTGTCTCAAAATATGATCACTTCCAGTATGTCACCCATAAAATGTCTCTGCAAAGTTTGAAAACACTGCATATGTATATGTGGGACGTCCTTCAGGACAGTTGGAAAAGCATCCCTGGAGGCCACTTCCTGAAACTGGCGTAGAGGAGACATTAGGGGCAGCCAGTCCCTGGAGCGACTGGTGTAAAGGACCTTGCTGAAGGGCCCAATGATGACATCACTCCGCCAACCACAGGATTTGAACCAGCAGCATTCTGAGTCCCAAGCCACAGCTGCCCCCCCTCCCCAACAAATTACTTTTTAAAATAATTTATTCGTCAGTGCATAATTACTTAAATATAATTTTTTAATTGTGATGTCTTTATAATTTAGGGCTGCCACTAACAACGAGTTTTCTATAGATTAATCTATCAACTATTGTATTGATTGGTCGATTAATGTAAACGATTAATTGTCCTCCAGAAAATCAACCTGATCATTTAATTTAATTTGACAACAACAAACTGTATGTCAACGCAGGGCTTTAGATAATTTAGATCGGGCTTTTCGGCACTATACACCATTATTTTCACCCACAATTCGATAAACAGTTTAATAATATGCCTAAACATATTCATGAGATTTTAATGCCCAAAAGTAAGTAATAAGTATAAATTTGGCATATCCTTATGCTTAATAAATTCGGGTAGCGGAGCACGCCACACGTAGCACAAGCGATAAGCTCTGAAGTCGCAGTGAAGGAAGGGACAGATCAGCAGCCACAACATCTTTTAAAAGAGGAGCTACTGTGGTTAAACAAGGTAAAAGAGGTTGGTGGAGTGGCAGCACTTTCTGCAGATTAAAGTTCTACATTTTTTTTTGTGAATATGATTTTCATTTTTATTTCAGTTCACAACATATTCTTTTATTTAGTGCCCGTTTTCATTTGTTTTAGTTTACGATAATGACACTGGTCCCAACAAGTCCAATGTGCACAAACTTACACACTGGCACTGTCAGTCAACATAGAATTAGCCCAGATTTTAGCCTAAACATTTATACAAACACTTATCCAATGAAGATTCTAACATAGCCGACAGACAACTTTATGGCTTTAATAATGAGTGTATTTAGCAGCTACAAGGACAAAAGATATTAAAAAGCTCTCCGTTCTAATGTCAATTTAATGAACATGAATTGACTGCACTGAGGGTGGTTCCGTCTACTCTAGCGGTCCGGCCATCATCCAGAACAGCGCCTGTGTGGTTCCTCTTCAGGTGGTCATGCATAGCGCTAATGCCACTGTGGTTTGGCATCACACTGCACAGTGTAAAACCACATTTTTGTTTTGTGATAATGTGAAGAACTACCATAATTATGCAGTGATATTAAAGGAAAACATTTGTTGATGAACTGAATCGTTTTAGAAATTGTAAAGGTAATTTTATTAAAATAATTTTAAAAAGCAATGTGTTGATTTCAAATATTGATGTCGACGCATTTTCTAAAATGTTGAGAACAGTACAAATAAACCTTTCTAAGGGTAAGTGTGTCAAAAGTTTTGACTGGTACTCTAAATAGAGTCACTGTGCTCATGTGACCCTGTGTTTTCTATAACTGTCCTTTCTTTCTCTTGCTGCCACATAGCACTGCTGTTAATTTTTGGAGAAATTTGCCTCAACCTGAAATCCCTTGAGAAACTTCATCCATATAATTCTGAATTTCTGAAGCAATAACACGACCCATCCAATATTTATCACATTCATAAAGTCAAATGTCATCTTCTTTCACCTTTCCTATTCCTGCCATTAAGCGGCACTGTTTCATTTTTAGTGCGATTTGTCTCAAAGTTCTATCATTTCCAGTTCATGACCAGCAGAATGTGTCTGCAAAGTTTGCAAAAGTATGGCAATAAGTTTATGCGTTAATGGGATCAGGTTTCCGAAACTGCCTTTTGAAGATATCACTATGAGGCGCTGCTTCGATTTTGGGGCGATCGGTCTCAAAATTTGATTAGTTCCAGTTCATCATCCACAGTGTGCTGGCAAAATTTTAATAATATCTGTCAAAGACTTTTTCAGTTATCGTGTTAATAGGAAGACGTCTGCAGACACAGCAAACTAGACCCTACACCACATGTATTTTTTTCCCTGGGAAAACAAATATAATAGGAAGTTTGCACCAATGAGAGAAAAGTACAATTCATGCCATTATGAAAGCTTTTCTATTACAAATTAATAATAAAAAACCATTTACACCTACAGAAAATTTACCAATGGGAAAAAAATAAATCATAATTTTATTTTAATGAACTGCAATAAGTAGAATAATTTTGTAAATGATTACATTCCTTCCACAGTTTTTAAAAATAACTTTCCTGAAAGACATGGTTATTGTTGTAAGACACCTCTAAGAACAATAAGGTCTTCCATTGCGTATGTGTCACGCCCCGCATTCCTCTTTCCCTCGTGTTCCCTGTGATGTGGTGCTAACGAGCCACACCTGTTCCTCCTTTAACCCTGCCACTTGTTTCAGCCCTCGTGTGGATGATCCCAGGTGCCTCTCGTTTCAGCCCTCGTGTGGATGATCCCAGGTGCCTCTCGTCTGCTCCCTCATCTGTGGTGTATATAGTGCCTCCTCGTCCTGAGCTGCCCAGTCCGGTCATTGTGTTATGTGTGTGAGATTGCTGCCTGCGCCCCCCAGTTTGCCCTGCGCCCCCAACCCCATTTTGACCCCTTGTGGCCCTTTTCCTTTTGCCCTAGTTGTTGTGTTTTGTTTAAATAAAGCCCCCTTTGCTTTTCCCCTTGCCTGCCTTCGTTTTCGTCCTTCCCAAAAAGTGACAGCACATACATTTGGCCTACTGCTACGGACCAGGATATGAATTTAGTTTTATATAAAACTATATCCACCAGTATTTTAGAACATAAATTAATGATCTTACCTTTTTTCTCGTAGCATAAACCAATTACACAGCATAGAGCTACTACGAAAATTATTGCTGAAACGACACCTGCGATGATCCGACCACGGGAGCCACCTATGGAACAGATACAATGTTACTTCAGTACATGAACACCATATAGTACAATAAAACTAAAATATAA